TTATTTGAAGATTTTTATTTTGGCGATGATGATGACGAAAGTGATTGCGATGATTCTGATGATAATATTGAAGATGAAGATTATGATTATTTTAAAGATGATGAGAATGAAATTTTCGTAAAAAGATCTGAAGATAGAGAGAAACTATTTAATGAAAGAATACATCTTATTGTATCCAGACCTAAAAAAGATGTAATGTTTAATACAGGGGTGTTTTTAATTAGGAATTCTGAATGGAGTTTTGAATTTTTAAGACAAATGCAAGAAATAAAAGATTTATATAATGGTAAAAAGACAGATCAAGCATCCATGTGGCAATTTTTTAACAAATATCCTGGTTTGAATGATCATGTATGTTCAGTTTATTTGATTATTAATTTACTGTGTAATTTATTAATTTTATTAAAATTCTTTTTTATTATTAGATATTGTTGCTAAATCATGATGTTTGGCAAGAAGATGATTTTATTCTTAATTTTGCTTCTTATAATTGTTCAGCTAAATTTATTTTGGATTATTTAAATTATTAATTAAGAATATAAAATATCGAGTGCTTAATTATGTAATGTAGTGATGCAATTGAAATAATTTTTTTAAGGTTTCAAATGTAAAAATATTTACTTTCTTTACTGTTTAACGTTAAGAACTTGTGAAATTTCGACATTATAAAATATAATAATGTCCTTTGCTGTATTGTAAAATATATCTTAGAATCCTATTATTTTATCACAACCTACATAGATCATACAATTTTAAAAGTCATATTTAATTGGCTATATAAGTCTTACATAATTGACTGAACTAATTTTTTGTTCCATCAATCGATTTAGCAATATTGAGGATTGTTAAATTATAAACTATCAATAATTTATAAGAATGCATTCGATCCAAAGTTTTTTCTTTTTGTTCTCAAGCCAGCACCTCATACGTACAGTAGCCTCCGAAATAAAGATGTGCCTCGCGCGATATAACGATTTCATCTCACTTGCGACTTTGCGCAAGTTGCGCGAGATGACCTCATGTTTCGCGCGATATATGATTCACATAAAATCGCGCAATGTAACATTGCGCGTGAGATACAGTACATCTCTACTCCGAAAGTTTGTCACGGTTACATAATACAAAATTACATTTATCATGGTATATTAATATCATATGTATTTATTAATTTATTATGCTTTTTTTTGTGAGGCTATTTACTGTACGTAAGAATAGCAAGATAATTTGTAGTTAAATCAAAGAACGAAAAAAATTCACCAAAAATCTCATAACTCTAAATTTAACTTATAAAACTGTCTTCTGCGCACTAACGAAAAATTTTCTTTGCACGATTCTGGTATAAATGACACTTTTAACTCTACAAATTTTTTTACTTGAAAAAATTTTTGGTGGGGTTTCGGAAATCACCTGATAGCGAATTTTTTCTGCCACCACTGATTTATCTATAATTTGTTATCATATGAGCGAATTTGCTTCGATCTTATTTATAGAGTTTTGTATTAGGAAATTTTATGGATTATAATTTTCGAAACCTGCACCATTATAACGAATCTACCATATTTGACGTGTGCAAGTTTTACTTTCTCAGAATATTTAAAATAATTATTATTTTTCTTAGCGTGAAGATTACTATAACGTTGGGTTCCAAAATTAGTGAAATAAGTGACGTATTTATTCAAAATAAGTGACTTGCAAAGTATATTTTATTTTTAAGTGTATGTTTATTTATAACTGATTTATAATCCCGATACTTTTATTTCATATTCTGATTTTGAAATTTAAAAATATAATGAGATTTTTTAAACTCCCACTATTTTTGAAGCAAGTTAATTTTGAAACACCCTATTATAAATAATTTTTTGGAAAAGCGCAATATCGGTTGGATTAGATAAAACGACGGTAGAAAGAGCTTTAATAAAAAAGTTTAATTGTTAATAATAAGAGAGGTTGAAGCGAACATGATAAGTCGAAATATCTAGACAAACAATTTTCTGCGACTGCATCACAGTTATGCGTAATTTTTAAGCAGAGATTTTTATCGGTATTTAAAGCCATTTTATCGTGTAAATTGCATTGAAGTGCGTTGGGAGTGAATCGAAGCATAACTGACTTGCATAGAGAAAGCACAATCCTGTATAATGATTCTCAAGTAGACTTATTAGGTGTTTCAAAATTAACATATTTCAAAAATAAGTGGAAGTTTAAAAATCTTATTGTATTTTAAATTTCAAAATCAGAAACTGAAATAAAAGTATCGGGATTATAAATCAGTACAAATAAACATATATTTAAAAATAAAATTTATTTTACAAGTCACCTATTTTGAAATAAATACGTCACTTATTTCATCCGAAATCAGACTAATTTTGAAACCCCCATTATTATTCTTAATTATTAAAAACAATTTTAAAACTTTCATTTAATGTAATTTAACATTCTTTCATTTTATTTCCATTTATACAATCGATACTGAAATACATAAATATCTCCTATTGTATATCATTAAAGATATTTCAAAAATGGTCTTTTTTTTTCTTCATTCATATCAATATTAAAGGATCATTCAAAAATTCAGAATCACTTATGATAAATGAACAAATTAATTGGCAACTCTTAAGAAGAAATATGTCTATTCTTAAAATTGTATCTAAAATGACTTAAATGTGTAATTCTGAATAACAGAATAAATCAAAAAAAAAAACAATATCAAGCGAAATCGTAATTTAAAACGGGCCAATACAAACATCCCAAATGTTATACGTATAACTTTATAAATATATAGCATGTTTTATCATACAGAAAGTCTAATTAAAAAGATAGTCGCATAGTTTACTAAATTTTTCCGCAATCTTTGCAACAAAATCCCGAACACTAATAACGATATGAAAAAGTGTGTTAGAATTTGTTTTGTGATAAAATAATAATAATAATTCAAACATTTTATTTACTTTGTAGCGATATCATTAAATTTCGACACAATCCAGTGCCACAAATTCTTAAAAAATTTTATAATTTCGTCAAATAGCTCGGTGAGCCAATTTTTGAATTTATCAATTACACACATTCCCCAGGCTAAAAACTCTAATTGCAAAAATGATTAATATTAATAACATGTTATAATAATATCATCATTAGTAAAAGTGACTATCTTTACCCTCATTTTTTTCTTTGTATTCCTCTTGTGATTCGTGAGAACCTTTTGCTGGCTTTTTGGGTTTCTTGCTTAAGATATAATTCTCCATTTCGTTAAGATTTTTGAATTTATTACGCACATACTGTTCCACATCATCTTCATCTAGTTCCGCCACCTCACGCCGAGCTTCTTCCGTCCAAAGTACAAGATTTATAGTAAGAAAAGCGGTATAAATAAAAATAAGAAATTACTACGAATAACCACTGGTGATAATCACCAGTAACATGTAAAATTAATAACGATAAAACAAAAAAAAAAAAAAATCTTATTTCATTTACTTTAGGGTTAGGGCGAGGTCTAGGATTGTATCTAAGCACTAGTACATGCAAAATTTAGCAAGGAATTTTTTTTGTTAGAACATCGAAGGTGGTTTAATAAGCGAATTTTTGAGATATGAGCTTTTTTTCAAAGAAAAAAAATCTTTAATTTCGTTACACGAATCGATTTGCACGTTACATCTGATCTATTGGTTAATTTTATACCATATGGGCGAATATGCGTCAACATGCAAATGTAGATTTAGTACCCCAAAAATTTTTTATGGAGGGTCAAGCCGTCTGACCGTTACTATTAAAGTCGCTGATCGCTGGGTTATATCCGATTATAAAAACATGTCTTAGTGTATCTCTTTTTATTGCAATAATCCTTTTCTCATTAACCTCCTGTAGCTGAGTTTCAAATCTGTACAAAAATATTTAAGCCATTCTGTATATTTGTCTCTTACATGCTGAATAGCTTGATAGTATGCTGTTCTATCTTTGTCACAGTACTTACTGAGGCTAAACAGTTGCTTGAAATCATAACCTTTTCAATAAAGACACAAGAATATATGCTGTAAGTTTCCTGATAAAAGACTTAAGTAGATTACATTTACCTCACGCAAAAGCTTTAGGAAATTTCTTTTGATATTATAAGTTTTTACCATACTAATTTGCATTTTTCTTTTACTTCTTCAAATTGATTACTACTTCCGTTATTATCTAGCAAAGAGAAAAGACAAAATTTTTGAGTGAATATATCTGGTTTGAATTTAATCTTTTCTTTTTAATTCAATGATTATTTTTCTTATTAGATAGTGATTTGTTATTAGCAGTATATTTTTAGTTTACAGTTTACCTTTTTTCAGAATATGTATTATTATAATAATAATATGAAGTGTTTTTTTTTTTTTTATTCCAATAAGCAACTAATAAGTAGAATATTTATACAATTCTATGAATTAGCTAGAGTAATCTTAGAGTTCTGGTTATTTGACCATTTAGATAGTTTAATTGAATATATATATTGATAATACACATAGTCAGATAACCAGTACTTTAGAGTAGCTGCTCTGGCTAATTCAGAATAGGTTTATATATAAGATTGTTATCTGGATTAATATTACATATAGATTATTCAATTTTAAATTGTTTATATTTAAACTAGAAAGAGGTCTGGTGATCTTAGTGTAGTGGTTAGGTTGCTAGACCGCTATGCAAGAGGTCTGGAGTTCAAATCCCACTGTCGACGAATTTGAATAATTACCCAGACCTTTGTACCCAACTTACGG